ATATAAAATTTGTTTTGTTTTATACCTTCAGATAAATCCAGACGAAACATTAAAGGTGGGTGTAATAAGTGTTTGAAGCAGGGTTATTAAAGTAGAGTAGTATCTTTGAAGCTAGTAGGTTGGCCGGGATTTTAAGGTCACGAGTTCGAGCCCAGTTGTGTCTTTTTTTTATTGTGTGAATGCTATGAAGCATTCATATCGCTAGTTATTATTACTACGACTCAACATTTTACTTGAATAAGCCAGGGGCAGAGCCAAGGGGTGGCCAGGGCCACCATAGACAAATCTTTGGCCACCCTGCTGTACACACCCTTTCCACAGTGAAACAATGTTTAGGGATGTTATAATCCTCCTGAACAGTTGGTGGCAGTGTTTAACAGTTTGAAACATTACCAAGCTCAATTACTAAAGAAGACTAATGATAAGAAAGTGATAGTTTTCTTTATATACAGCACATATGCCTATGTAATCTGACCAATGGTGACTTTTGAACTTAAGGTGACATGTTTTTTGTTTGTTTGTTTGTTTTTTGTCACATACAGTGTAATTTTATGTTGTGAAGGCTGCATGATGATCTGTCCCGGCCTTTTAGCTATGAGTAGACCTATCACTACATCAGAAATAGTGTAACACCCCTCTAAATTTACTATTGGTGGTTTTCAGTGTTGCACCTGTTCAATGGGTAAAATTATTAATATTAGTTTAAACATGCAGTTGAGGGTCATCATTATTTGGCACAATTTGACATGTGTTACAATAAATATAAATCAGTAAACAAAATAAAATTAAAAGGCACCCCTAAAATCATTTGATGTGATAAGTTGTGTCACATGAATTAATCTTATCTCAGCTGTATCAGTGAGTTTAAAAACAGGATGATGGAACTAGTTTATTGAATACTCTGTCTCTGAAATAATTATTAAATCAAGTGTTAATTTATGTAAGTACAGTAAAAGTATGTTTAACAACATGGTAAAATACACCAGAATGCAGGAAATGGCATCTATTTCGTAAAAAAGTTTTCTGGGGGAGGGCTCCCAGACCCCCCCAACAGTGTGTCCCCCTGCTTTTAAAATGATTCTGACGCATATGTTTATAAGGTAGTCACTGTGCAAGAACATACGGAAATTACCAAAACACGAAGATCTGCAGAAACTTTCAAGTGCAAAAAAAAAAATGATGTAATTTTCTTGGCCACCCCTGTGTGAGTGGTGGTCCCAGTCTGGTCACCCCTAAGAAAAAAATGTCTGGCTCCGCCTCTGTAACAAGCCACTGATCAGTTTGTTCCGCCCCGCCCCACTTTCTCTTGGTTGCTGGGTGACGGCAGTCAGGTGACTGTCTGCAGACGGAACATGGCTGACCTGTCAGAAGACCAATGAGGGAAAGGCCAAATTTTGCATAATCGATCCTGTTTTTTTTCCTCGTTTCTGACCACAGTTGACCGTCGTGGGCAGCGTTTGACGAAAACTAGCCAAGGTAAGCGTGGGAGCGCCTCTTCTTGTAGCACACTTCGTGTTCCTTCGAGCAGCAGCAGTTTAGTCAGTGTTAGTGCTAAGTGCTAACTGCTAGCCAAAACAGTCCCCGCTTTTTCTTAAAGAACCAACAGAAAATGGGAATTAAAAAAGTTTACGGGGACATGACAAGTTGGCTTTCGCAAATGTAACAGCAAAACCGACGATGTTTTATTGTACGAATGCCAGGAAAACTACTTACAACTGTGTTTGTTAACGAAAGGGAAACTGCAAGTCTAGAAAGATCAGTACAGCTTTGGAAGCTAGTCATGCATAGCAGGGAACCATTGGTTGAACTATTTTAACTAGTTTGAAATAAACTCCACGGACACTTATCCAGTCTCTGACATTGAGAGGCGTAATGTCCGCAGCAAATTACATAAAAAATATCGCTCATAATTCATGGAAAAAGACAGAATCGTGGCCTAGACACTAATTCATAACCTGTAAGCTTTAGCAAAAGAGATCTCTGTTCTTGGCTTGTTTTACAATAAACCTTTGACCTGGGAGCTAAAGTTCTTACTTGCTGTTAAGATGAGGTGTGTTATTGTAAAATAGAAGGGAAAAAAAGCTGTAATAATTAGAGAAGGGTTTTATATTCTACTAATTCACTTGTTTGGTGGCATTAATGTTGAACATCCAACAGAAACTCGATTTTTCAGTGTTATTTTGGTTCATTCAATGTCTATAATGCGTCTATGGAACAGTTAAACGATGGGATCTTGGGTTTAAAATGTCTGAATCAGTTAGAAAGGAAAAAAATAGATGTAAACCTATGAATCATAAATCATTTAAGCCAGTTTGGAAGTGTCAAAACGTTTTTATGGGTTAGTCCAGCTCACGAGTCAAATATATTCTGTTTAGAGAATGATGCAATTGCAAATGTTTATGTCTCAGAAATGACAAATAACAGCATGACTAACATTTCCTTTATCAAATCTTTGCTTGCAAGTGGTTTCTTTCATCTTGTTTTGCAAAAACATATTGATTTGCAAATTACAGTCAGTGGAATGCAGCTGCAGCAACTAGTTTACATCTTGTTTGGTATTTTCTCTGTCTTTTTAACCGCATTACAAATCAGTGTGAATTATTAATTACTTTTTTAACAACAAGTGATCTGATTGCAGATGAGTGCTTTGCCAGAGGGAATGGCAAACGGCCCAAGTAGGAATGCACACTTGGAGCAAGAAGATACTCAAATTTGGGAGAGACCATGGAGTCTTGAAGAGATACGGCAACACAGTGCCAACTGGTCTTTAGCTGCTGACTCTGGGGTAAGTTTGATGTTATGTGTAATTCTGAAATGAGCAATGGGGGAGGATAAAACCATTAACTGAATAGGAGAAACACAGCAGGGAAAAAAAGATTGCGCAATGTGTGTTGCAGTAACCTTACAACTGTCTTACTTTTCTAATCTTTTTCTTTCCTCACAGCTTTTCCACTTCCTCCAAGACTTCTCCCATAGAATGATGTCAAAAACACATGAGATTGAAAAGCAGTTGGACAGTCTTATCTGTGACACCAAGGCCACCGACAGCCGCCTACATTCTGTCTTCAATGACTTCCTAATGCTTTCTAATACACAGTTTATTGAAAATGTATGTATCTCTTTAAAAAAAATAGTGTTTTAACTTACCGTACAGTGTTTTATTTAACATGTTGTAATCAAACATTAAAAAAATTTTAAAATACGTCTTTATTTTTTTGTTTTGTTACAGAGAGTGTACGATGAAGAAGTAGAGGAGACCGTTCCCAAAACGGATGCGCTAGAGAAGCAGCCTGAGCAGGTACGTTAGCATTCAGAAAAATCCTCTCACCTCCCTCATTATTCCCATAATGACTAGATTTATCGTCGTCTAAGGAGAAGACTCGAGAGCAGAAGGAGGCGGAGCTGATCCCTAAGATGCAGGAAGCGGTGAACTACGGTCTAAAAGTTTTGGAGTCCGCCTTCGAGCATCTGGACATCAAAGCGGGGAACTCCGACTCGGAGGACGAGGACATCACAGAACGAGTAGAGCCTATCCTGGAGCCCAAGGTGTGCTGCTGGTCTTAATTTAAAAAAAATAATAATAATGCTATGCAAGATGGAATTATCGTGATTTTATTTAATGTTTATTTACTTGTCTTTTTTAGGATCTGTATGTGGATCGGCCACTTCCTTATCTAATTGGTTCTCAAGCCTTCATGGAACAAGACGATGTAGGACTTGGTGACCTGTCAAGTGATGGTAATAGTCTCTCTCTTTTTTTTGTCTGCATTTTAGTGTACACAGTGTGACGTTAATTAAGCTTTTTGTGTTTCTCAGAAATGTCAGTTGACAGCGACAGGGACAGTGTGATCGACAGTGAAGATGACAAGGAAACAGTCGTAAGCCCATTTTCTCTGACTCTTTCAGTTTATTGATGAGAATGTTTGATAGATTTATTTATTTATTTACTTAACAGCATTCAGATGACGACTCCTATCAGGAGGAGCAGCAAGGTCACAATAACGTAAAAAAGGTATTTTAAATACATGATCTGCCAGCATTGAAATGTTCATTACACGCACAGCAAAGATGGAATTTCACTTTTTTTCCCCACACTCTTCTAGAAGTCATCCATGGTGAGTTATGAAGAAGAGGATGAAGAAGAGGAGGAGGATTCTGACATATTTGGAGAATCGGACAAGGATGAAGATATTGATGACTCCGAAGTTAGTATAAACAAGTGTTTGAGTTGAAACAATGCCTTTTCGGTACTAATAATTCCGATTAAACATCCACACCAATATTTTATATGTCACAGAAAACAGACCCGTCAGATTTTGCAAATGAGCTAGCTGCTCGAATCAAAGGAGAAATCAACAACAGGCCGGAGGGAGATCATGCGTGTAAGTATCTGAGTATTTATTTTATTCTATTTTATTATATTTTAAATATGACAAAATTTCCATTCTTACACTTCATCATGTTTAATTTTAGTACAACTCCATCCATGTTCTCATTTGGCATTTGCACCTAAAATAAAAATTAGGAATGATTTCCATCGCTACATGTGCATTCTTATGGCTATTTTGTTTCTCCCGTGTCATTATCATGGAAGCTTTATCATCTAAGAAGAAGAGTAAAGCCAGAAAAGAGTCAAAATCGACAAATGCACAGGGTAGGGTACTCATGCATCCTCATGGGACTCACTCTTTTTGGTTGAACACTGCATTAGTTATGTGTCAATAGGTACTTCGTTGTCATTATGCGTAATGCTGTGTATTCTGTGTGGACTGTGAGAGCAGCTGAAGAGGACAGCGACGACATGTTTAAGCCTCCAAAGTTGGATGATGAGGACTTCTCCCCATTTGGAGGAAAAAGTGGGCTCTTTAGTGGAGGGAAAGGCCTCTTCGACGATGACGACGAGGTGCAGTAAGCAGATTTAACTCCACATCACAACAACTGTGAAAGGCAGAGTTTTATTTGGTGTTGTTTTATGATACAGGGAGATCTTTTCTCTGAGGCACCGAAGCCTGTGATGGAGGAGCAAAAAGCAACAAATGTGACCGTGAAAAGCACAGCTCAAGCTACAGGTGAGATATAGAAAAGGTTTATTTTAAAAAAATAATAATAAAATGGCAAACAAAACAGACGTTACTTTTTATTTTTCTATCCAGAATCTAGCAAGCCTAATAAGAAGATTCCAGCTGGAGCTGTATCAATATTCCCAGGTAGCAGAGGGAAATATATCACAGCAGATATCTTTTTTTATTTTTATTTTCTGCTTGCTTTGTGATACTTAAACTTTCTCGTATCAGATAACCGCCTCTTCAGTTCAGGACAGGACTCTGATTCAGAGGAGAGAAAAGAGAATGGCACTCCAGCTGTTAGGACTCATGTTGCCCCCAAACAAACTCCCACGGGAGCTGCTGCTGCTGCTGCTGGTGGAGGAAAGGGATTATTTGATGATGATGATGAGGAGGAGGAAGATGATGACTTCTTTGGTGGTAAAAGCCCGAAAAAGCCTGATTCAAGTAAGTCAGCTGAAATAGGTGTTTAAGTGCTGCACTCTTAGTTGCAGTGTGATCTCTTGTCGTTGTAACTGTTTTTTTTATCCCCAGTTGTACATAAGAAACCTAAACCCAAGACACATATTGACCTTTTTGATGATGAAGATGAGGATGGGGACATTTTCAGTGGCAGTTCATCAATTTCGACTCAGAGCAAGAGGGAGTTTGTGGAAAAATCGGATAAATCACCTGAGAAAAAGGCAAATAAAAACTTGATTGCGTTTAAAAAAAAACCTTCATATTATTGTTTATCTGTTTTTTATGTTCCTGTTTTAACATTTTCTTATGTTTAGATGCCGCCTGGGGCCATTTCCACATTTGGTCCTGCGACTAAAAGCTTGCTGAGTGAAGGCCTGAAAAAACACAGAGGATCCAGCAGCGAGGCGTCAGAGAAGCCAGACCTGGTGTGTATCTGTTCACTCCTGACAAGATCAAATTTGGTGATGTGTTTTCACTTGCAAAATCACAGATCTACAGTCATATATTACATCACTGGGCTTCAGTGTTCAGGCCTGCTGTTATGTCAGAAAGGCTTTAAAAAAATAAAACGTTTATTTTACAAAAAATGTCAGAACTTGCATAAATTGTAGAGTGAGGCTGTTCATCCGGCCTATGGGTGACTTGTTAGAAATTTTTTTTTACTTAATTTGTTTTTAAAATAGATTTTAAATCAACTGTAAAATAAAAATATACGATTCAATGCGTAAACAAAAGATAATAATACTTGTTCTGTTACATACTGCAGTGTATCACCTACCATGAATGGGCAGTGCCCCTCGCAACTCTCTGGGATACACTGCTCAAAAAAATAAAGGGAACACTTAAACAACGCACGCTAACTCCCGATCTTAATCAATGAAATATTCGCATTCAGTACTTTGGTCTGTACAGAGTTGAATGTGCTTCACAAAAGTTTCATTTACTTGGACTTAGCGTGCGTTGTTTAAGTGTTCCCTTTA